CTCCTCTTCTGTTTTTAGCTGAACCATTTGTGTATCCTTTAAGTGCCCCCTGTAATGAACTCCCTAAATTCTTAGCAGAAGTTATTTAAACCCAGTTTAATATATTTAAGGGAATTAATTTCATGTTTACCAGCCTCAAATACTATACTTTTAAGGATCTATCTAAAGTTTTCAGGACAGTCTTCATAAATGGTTTTCAAATACATGTTCCATTTTCCAGGAACTTAGTTTTTCCATTGAGTCCTGTGTCTAAATGGACTTGCTAAGTTGAACAAGTTTTTTTCTAAATCAGATACATTAATTAGAGAATAGAAATGAATAATTAAAATGATTTGGGACTTAGATAAAAATATTTTTTCCACTTAAAGAATTAGAATAAAATATTATTAGATTAAAAATAAATCATTGATTAGGTAATAGTAATTATTAACATTTGCCCAGGGCTAGTGTTTATAAATGCTTATGTTTGAGTCTTCATTTGTCATTTTACTTAATCCTTTTAATAATTTTGAGTTAAAAATTACTATTCCTGTTCCGTAAGTAAGTAATCTGGGACACAGAAATAAGTGCTTTTCTTAAGTGTCTATTGAGCACATTGCATGTGTCTAGTCCAAATTGAGATATGCTTGAAATATAAAATGCCAGAGAATGAGCTAAACCACCAAGAATGTAAATATTTTTATATTGATTGCATGCTAGAATGATGTGTTGAATTTATTGGATTAAATTAAGTATTAATGTAATTTCACCATTTCTATTTACCTTTTTATCAACTGCAGATAACTAGAAAATTGAAAATTATGTCTCTGGCTTGCAAAGTATTTCTCTTGGACGATGCTGCTTTAAAAGTATCTGCACACAATTTAAACAGGCAGATAGTTCCGTGCACAAGGCTTATGAGTTATGGTATTCTTCACACCCCATTCTTTCCTCCATATCAGCTCCTTCAACTTGCTCTTCAAGTGAGAGGAGAGTTTTGCTTTTAAGAATTGGTTCCATATCGTTAATTCACTTGCTGTATTTCTGCCTTATTAGTTCTGTTGTGGTTATCGTTTATTTTAGTTTTGCTTTTTGATTGGTTTTAGGCCCTCTGAAACATCCCATTAACATCAAAGGGAGCTGTTGTTCAGTTTAATTCCTGTGCCCCATCACATATATACACACCATTATTTCCTATCCTCATAATACTGTTTAGGTCAAAATTTAGTGTTACCATGATTTTAAATGCTGGTTGTAATGTAGCTGTGTATGAAGTACTCTTTACTTTTTAGTTTCTGTACAATTTTTGTTTATCCTGGAATCAATAATTGCCCTGTTATTATTCAGTTGCTTAGCTTTCCATGCAGCTGTCCTAATTCAATCTTTTAAAAAATATATATATTTTATTGATTTTTTACAGAGAGGAAGGAAGAGGGATAGAGAGCTAGAAATGTCGATGAGAGAGAAATATCGACCAGCTGCCTCTTGCACACCCCCTCCTGGGGATGTGCCCGCAGCCAAGGTACATGCTCTTGACCAGAATCGAACCCGGGACCCTTCAGTCCGCAGGCCGATGCTTTATCCACTGAGCTAAACCGGTTTTGGCCTAATTCAGTCTTATATCCTTTACCAGTTATTTAAAATGCATCTGTAGGCATGCAGATACTTCTGTAGATGCATCTCCCCCCTAGAGCCTTGCAGCCTGCTCTTGCCTACACTGATGGTTCTCTCCTGGTCCAGTCCCATTGTCTCATGCAGCAATCTGCTTCCATGAGATTCTAAGATTTCCTCTGCCTTTTGCCTGTCTCAGCCTTCTTGTTTCCTGAATCTTCCTCTCTGTTTGGTTAATTTCCTCATTTTGTGAAGCACATCTTTAGTAGCTTTCTGAGGAGCCTGAGTCTTAAAGTTTTTAAGACCTTGCATATCTAAAAATGTTCCCCCCTCCCACCCCCATGTCGAAATACAATCAGAGGTTGGAAACAATTTTCTTCAGAAAGTTGAAGATATTTTCTTCATTGTCCGTTTACAGGGGTGCTTTGGGCAATTTGGAGCCAAATATTCTCTTGTCACCACCTCTCTCCTTACACCTCCCCAACACTTTTTAAAGATTCTGTTTGTCACCAATGCCTGAAATTTTACTGTGATATATGCCCCAACATGGATCTGTTTCCTAGACTAGAGGCATAGTGCACGAATTTGTGCAGCAGTGGGGTCCCTCACCCAGGCCTGTGGGATCGGGCTGAAACTGGCTCCCCAACATTCCCTGAGGGATCCTGGATTGTGAGAGGGTGCAGGCCAGGCTGAGGGACCCCACTGGTGCACAATAAGGACTGGGGAGGGGTGTGGGAAGTTGGTCAGCCAAGGAAGGACCGTGGGAGGTCTCCAGGGCATGTCCGGCCCATCTCATCCAGTCCTGATTGGTTGGACCCCAGCAGCAAGCTAATCTACCAGTCAGAGCGTCTGCCCCCCTGGTGGTCAGTGCATGCCATAGTGACTGGTTGAGCGGCCTTAGCATATCATTAGTATATTACACTTAATTGGTTGAATGACTAACCAGACAATGAGACACTTAGCATATTAGGCTTTTACTTTATACTAGTGCCCTGGTGCACAAAATTCATGCACATCGAAAGGGAATTAATCAGAGGAAATATTTCAATATTGCTATTTGTCAGGGACACAGACAGGCAGCTTCACCTCAGCTCTGGGCGGGGATGCACACAAGCAGTGCCACATCTCAGGTCAAGGACACAGGCAGGCAGTGTCACATACCTGGACAGGGACTCAGGCAGGCAGCTTAACTTCAGTGCTGGTGGGGGTGGGGGGCAGATGCAGGCAGTGCCACATCCTAGATCATGGATACAGGCAGACAGAGTCATGTCCCTGGCCAGGGACACAGGCAGGCAGCTTTACCTCAGCACTGGGTGGGGACGCACGCAGGCAGTGCCACATCTCAGGTCAAGGACACAGGCAGGCAGTGTCATGTCCCTGGCCAGGGACACAGGCAGGCAGCTTTACCTCAGAACTGGGCGGGGACGCACGCAGGCAGCACCATGCAAACAGGCAGCATAATGTCAGCACTGGGCAAGCCTGCATGTGCCTCTGCTGGTGGCCACTTCCAGCGGGGGCTGCTCCACCGCAGCCCAGGGCAGGGATGCCGTGGGCCTGTTTGCAACCCCAAGCAATTATTTATTAGGAAATGTTGGTATATAATCTTGTGATGTCTCTGATTGGCATTAGTATCATAATAGTGGCCTCATAGAATGAATGATTTGAGAAGTTTTTCTTTTTTTTGGAGGAAGGTGTAAAATTGGATAAAATTTTAAAGTGGAAAACAAATATACAACTTGAAAGAGATTTGAAGCAAATTGTGCCATAAGCAGATTTTCTTAAAGTGGCTAACCAAAGTTTAAAAAGCAGGTAACAATAAAAGAAAATGTTTCTGGTATAGGGCCCACAGTATTAAAAAATAGCATGCAAGTACCTAGATTATACACCTCAATGCAACAGTGCAACATTTAAGTACATATTGTTGACCATCCATAGTCCATGCAGAGTTACAACCCTACACTTCAACAACATGCTGGCAGTTTCTAAAGAAAACAACTTTAGAAAAAGGTAACCCAGATGTTCCCTCATTTGACCAACTCCACCTAAGTTTAGATGTGCAGAAGGACTTAGGTATATCCAGAGTAAGCCACAAGAATCATGCTATTTGATCAATTATTTTATTGTTTATTCATTTTTAGGGAGAGAGGGAAGAGGGGAGAAGGAGGATAAAAAGGAGGGAGGGAAATAGGGAAGAAGGAAAAAAGAGAAAGAAACATTGATTTGTTGTTCTACTTACCCATGCATTCATTCATTGGTTGATTATTGTATGTGCCCTGATCCAGGATTGAACCTGCAACCCTGACTTGTAGGGACGACACGCTAAACCAAATGAGCTATCTGGCCAGGACTTGATCTACATTTTAAAAATAAGGTTTCAGGACAATGATAGTAAAATAAACAAAGAAAACATGGAGGAATGAAGTTCTAAATACTATACATGCATATTTATTGACAGTAGGGGGAAACCTTTTATAGATAAGTTACAGATAAATTACAAAGGAAAGGCAAATAAATAATTTTGTACAATAAATTGAACACATTCTGTACAGATGTTGTCTCTGCTGACATCATTTGTACAACTCTTCATAGTATATTTGACCATCACCATCAGTATTTGCTTCCCTGATCATCTCATCATCCTTTCCATCTGTTAATTTCTCTCCAAGGTGTGTATCACATGTTGAAGCTCTGCTGTATTAACATAGCCATTGCCATCCTAATCCAACACACAGATAACTTCTCTAATTTTTTTCTTCACTGTCTTTTATTTTTTTCGCCATTATTGTTAAAAGTTTCAGGAAGTCAGTTATACTATTACCCTCAGCATCTATTTCATTAATCATGTCCTATAACTCTGCCTCTGTGGGATTCTGTCCAAGAGACCTCATTACAGTTCCCAATTCCTTTGTTATTGTAGTTCCATCACCATCTTTATTAAATAGTGAAAAAGCTCCTTTGAATTCTGCAATCTGCTCTTTAGTCAGTTTGTCAGTCTTGCTGCAAGGTCTGTTGGTCTTCAAGACATGACCACATAGCCACTCAGCTCTCTTGCTCCCCTTGGACTTGAGAAGTTTTCTTATGCTTCCGTTTCATTAAAGAGCTTGTGAAGGATTAATATTAAAGAGTTTGTGAAGGATTAATATTAATTCTTCTTCAAACATTGGCAGAATATATCTGGGTCTGTGTTTTTCTTTGTGGGCAGTTTTAAAATTACTAATATAATGTAATATTTTTGTTAAGACTAATTATCAGTGAACATTCATCTTGCAAATACCTATTGATATTTGACTAATTCAGCCAACCTTTCTCCTGTGTAATATTTAAATAGACAGAGATTTTTTTATATACTTACTTTTAACTTTCTTTTTTCTTCTGTTAAAGGTCTGTAATTACTTTGGAATCAGTAAGCCATGGCGTCAAAGAAATTTGCTATTAAAGTAAGTAATGCTTAATAGTCTTTAAAACAATTAATCACTTTCTAGTATAACTAAGTTCTATGTTAATTGGAAGTATAAGCTCTGAACTTTTTTTCTACTCTTTACATTTGGTTCTCTACTGAAAACCTTAAATAGGGGATTGAAAATTTTCATGTATAGAATTAGAAGAAGGGAGAAAATTTGTAGTTTATATGATTATGGGAGTTGCCGGCTTCTGACCAAAAGGCATTACTTGGTCCTTAATTTTAAAAATGATCATTCACATGTATGTCCATTACATAATTTTTATTCTGACAAAGCAGATGAAAATGAAAAACTAGGCATCAAATGTTGCACCTGCTGAATGGTAGGGGAGAGTTCTCTTGCCTGGCTGCCCTCTTTTGCTTTCTTCTTACAAGTGTCTCTTCTTTATCCCTTAATGTTTGGGGCTGAGACCTCAGGTGTGGAGGCGTGGGAGGATCATGTATGTGAGAAGGAGGCAGGAAGAACTGATAAATAGTGGGTATAAGGTCTCAGAGATGCTTTCATATATATTGGCTCCTTTTTAGGGCATTTTCTTAATGCTACTATTTTATTTAGTATGAATTCAAAACACCAAAATAGACAAATTAGTTAACCATGTCAGATACTATTTAAAATTATAATTGTATCTTTTTAGTATGTCAGTGCTTATTTAGATTTATAACATACTTATAAATTTTATTGCTTATAGTCATTTTTTATAGTCATTTCTTATACCAATTGTTCTGTAGTATTTCTCTCTGTGAGAGATTATTAAGTGGTGAACTTACACTATTTGTCTAAAAATACCTTTTGATCTTACTCTAGAAAAAGATGTAGTTTGTTATAGAAATCTAGGTTGAGCATTATTTTTCCTCAACACTTTAGATATATTTTTCCATTATCTTCTGGGATCTATTATTGCAACTGAAAAATGTTCTAATTACCAATTTAAAATTTACATTTAGTGTCTTAAAAAATGAGCCATTTTGTTCTTTCTCATGATTCTATAAGATGCCTGGTATCAGTGGGGTTGTTTCTCCTGTTGATGTTGCCTGGAGCTACAATTATCTGGGGACTCAATTCAGATAGACCACCAAAGATGACTACTCACAGTTAATACTTGGCTGTGTGTGGAATCATACTTGGGGCTGTAAATTGTTGCCCTTCTAGTTCTCATTTGTGTGGCTACTCTGCATGGGTTGGGCTTCTTATAACTTGGTGACTGAGATTTGAAAGATGGTGTCCCACAGCAAGAGTTGCAAGAAGAAAGAAGTGTAATTTGCCAGTCCTCTTATGACAGCCAAAGTCTCAGATCCCATTTCTGCAGCATTCTATTGGTCAGTGCATTCTAACCCAGCCCCAGGGAAGCTGCACCTCTTGATATGAGAAGCAGTATGCACTTACAGGGAAGGGGAATCTGTGGAGACTAGTTACCATAGAAATCCGCTGTCAGCCTCATTGTGATTCCTCTCTTGGTTATCTGTCTTTTCTCTGGTTGCTCTTAAGATTTTATTTCTCTTTGTGATGTTCTGCAATTCTACTAATAAATATCAAGATAAAGACTTGCATTTTATCTGGCTTGGGGTGAGATATACCAGTACATCTTCATTTGAAAGATTCAAGTTTTTATTCATTGTGGAAAATCTTGATCATTTTCTCTTTGGGTATTGCTCCTTTTTATTCTCTCCCTGCATAATCTCAGTTTCAGTCAAGTAGAACTTGAAACTCATATACAGAGTTTATTGGATAGTCTTGTATAATAAACTAGAGGCCCAGTGCACGAAATTTGCGCACAGGTGCAGTCCCTGGGCCTGGCTGGTGATCAAAGCACGAACGTCTAGTGTGGAAGGGCAGGTGCCAGCTGGCCTCTGGGCCCTGGGCAACACCTGGGCCTGTGAGTCCCTGTGAGCCCCGCTCCACCTGAGTCACAGTGCCTGAGTCCCCATGGGGAGATGTGGTGAGTGTGGCTGGATACCCTGGACTGGGACACAGCATGGACCTCCGGCCAACCTTGCTCCTGCACAAACACGGGGAGCCCAGCTGGCTCCTGTGGTCCCGGCAGCTGTGGCCCGACTCGCCTGGAAGAGGCTGTACAGGTGCGGGGTGGGCTCCTATCGGGCATCCAGCACCTGAGCGCAAGAGCCATGGGAGGTTGGTTGCCACCACCCACCAACAGTTCCCCTCACCTATTCCACCATCCTGCCGCGGTCCCGCTCTTGTCAGGCCCATCGGGGCTGGCAGCGCCTCCACAGCTGCCCGCTGACAGTGTCACCATGCTGACATGTTCCACACTGCCCCCTGGTGGTCAGTGCATATCATAGCGAGCGGTTGACTCCCAGTCTCCCAGTTGAACTCCAGATCAAATGACTGCCCAAGGGTACAATTTGCTTTTATGATATAGGATAGTTTAGTTTCTTATGTGTTAGAAGGGTGATATTAATGTCCAGGACTGAGCCCCTAGACTGCTCAGTAAAGGACTGGGCCTCTTGCAAAGTTCTGCCCAAACTGGCTGTGACCCAGTAGAGCAAACAATCCCGGACAACCACAAAGCTTGGACCCCCATCTCCTAATTATGCCAGAGATGGGTCTGCTGATTTCCAGGCCATGCACACTGATGTGGCAAATCCTGCTACTGTATTTTCCCATTTCACAGTTGTACCATGAAGGCTTAGAACCTAGCTCTTAGATCATGCCAAGCAGGGGACTTACCTCAACCATGAGTTTCAAGCTAACTGGTTAGGGCTATAAACAGGTTTCTGAAAGATTTTACACATCACATTGTGACTGTATTCCTGCTTCTGGTCACACAGGCAAAGGCCAGTGTTTTCCTAATCATGCAGCTTAAAAGCCCTGAGCACTGCGGTGCCATTCTGAATATCTGACATCTCACCCTTCCAGATTGCTATGCACTTCCATAGTGTCACAGTTAGTAGGGGACATGCCCACTTAATGATGTCGTTACCATGTGCCTTCTCTGATGAATGCTGTTCCAGTAATCTTGTATGAGTGCTGCTTGGCTGTTTTTCTTTTTCTGTTTCTCTTCTTTTTCTGCCTTTGTGTTGGCATTCAAAGTGCTTTTTATCAGACCTTCTTTTGTATTTGTAGTTCATCTGTATTTAATCTATTAATCTATTCTTTAATTTGTTTATTTTTAGTGACTGCATTTTTCATTTGAGAATGTATTTGGTTATTTTTATAATTCAAAATCTGCTAATTCTTTTTATATACTTGTTCTATTTTTTCAGCATGTTTCCATTTCCTCCTTTTAAGTCCTTCATAATTTTAAATTTATTTCATAGTCTGTTTGGGATTGTTCTATCATTCCCACTGTTATTTATGAAGTGTGGAATAAATTGGTCACTGAAGTTATTGGATTGCTTATTGTGTAATTCTAATTGTATACACACACACACACGCACACACACACACACACACACACACACACACACACACGTGGAAAGGCCTATTGGCCCCACAGAGCAGTTGAGTAGTTTCAAGTTTACTTCTGCTAGAGCCCTTGGCATTTCTATGATTTTGGACTAGGTTTTATATTAATTTCATGATTTTGGATTTCACCACCTTGTGTGTAGTATAACTTTACAACTCAAAACAGAGTCTGGCACAAGGTTGGTGTTTTAGTAATTTCTGGCTCTTCTCCCTTCCCTTCCCTCCTCCCAAGACCCTGGATAGATGGCAAGCTTCCATGCTGCTTCCCCTGGACAGCGAGCAGAGATATTTTTTTTTATTTCCATGAAGGCTGCAGTTTCTCAAAAGAATGAAGGAAGAAGCTCTATCGAATAGTTCCTATTCTAATAAATTATGGACAAACATCCAGAGAGTATAGGAGGATATGTACAAATTGAGTACTTATTTGTGTATCAGGCATTGTGTGAAGAACTGAAAGTTGAAGTTCTTTACAACTTTGGGCTTAACTAGAATGGGTTCATTCCCAATTCCCTTTTCTCTTCTGTCCCTTTGGGGCATTAGGATACCAGCTCTAAGCTATCTTGGTTCTCAAACATTCTGAAGTCCAAGCTTGAACCTTCCAAAGGAGTGATGATTTTGTTGAGATGTATTTGTCATATAATATTGTTAAGTTCAAGGTGTACAGTGTATTGATTTGATAAACATATATATGGTGAAGTGTTTACCACAATAAAGCTAATACATTCTTCACCTCACATAATTATTTTGTTGCTATGCTAAGAATATTGAAGCTCTACTCTCATAGCAACTTTCAAATATATAGTATATAGTACAGCATTGTTAACTGGAATCACCGTGCTATACATTTAGATCCTTATTCATCTTATAATAGGAGTTTGTAACCTTTGACCAACATCTTCCCATTTCCCCCATTGCTCAGCCCCTGCCAACTATCTCTCTACTCTGTTTCTATGAGTTCAATGTTTTTATTTATTTTATTTTTAAAATATTAGTTTTTGTTAATGTTGATATTCAATATTATTTTATATTAGTTTCAGGTGTACAGCATAGTGGTTAGAAAATCATCTTATATAATAAAGAGCTAATATGCTAATTAGACCAAACAGCAGAACAGCTGTCCAGAGTCCAAATGACCTACCTGACGATCTTCTGCATGACCTTCAGGACTAAGCTGGGGCTGTGAGGGCTGGCTGAGGCAGGCGGGGCTGCAAGGGCTGAGCCCCTTGCATGAATTTTATGCCTCGGGCCTCTAGTCCATATATTTTATATAAAAGCCTAAGTGACTGATGGACTGGCTCGACTGGTTGCTATGACATGCACTGACCACCAGGGGACAGACACTTAAATCATTTATTTTTATTTTCTAGTATATGCACTTAAAGCTATAAATTTCTCTCAATGCAGAAGCTGCCCCCTGGTGGGAGCATTGCTCAGCTCACGGACGGGTGCCAGACACAGGGTTCACAGCTGGCCACTGCTGTCGGACGACCACTGTGGATTGGGGATAGGGTCAGCCATAGGGAAGGGTTTTGGACTGTGGGCTGGTTGAA